ACTCCCCAACCCCCTCCACCACTGCACCAGAAGACCGTTTCACTCATCCTTCAATCCTTCAAGAGGGCGGCGAAGAAGGTTAGAGATGTTTTGGATGGGTATTGATCGCTTATCATCCGTTTCCCAAGTCATCACAGTGATGGACTTTCATATGGGCTGTTCAATCGTCGCAATTTCATGCCAATAGGTATCTGCGAATACAGGAGGCGGGTTATCTTTGTCGCCTGCCTGTGTGCTAATGAATATGGTCTTCAACTCACAAGAAACGTACCGACGCCGTGCTCTCTCCCTTCGCGCTGCCGGTGGAGGAGGTGGTGGCTGCAAATGAGCTCTATAATCAGTTCGGTGATCGATCTGTGAATTGAGTGGACGTGATATTCCGAATATTAGTCTATGCTGTTTAACGTCTATATACAAAGCTGACTGAAACAGAGGTAGGGATATCTACCCCATCTATGACGTACCTCCGGTAGAGCACGTTGTGGGGCGACACCCGGCGCTGGTGGTTCGGGACGCCTGGATAAAACCAGAAATTATGTGACTCTTGATATCGACCCCGAACTCCTGCTTCGTTAAATCACAAACTTTCAGCGTAAAATGGGGGGTCTGTATTTTTCGGGCATGGAATTCTCCCGTTCACGAACTTTTTTTTTCTTTTTGGTTGGGAAACTATTTATGTTAATGCTAGAATACCCTTCCGATTCCTCTTATTCTTATAGTGTCTTACTCATGTACGAGATGATTCAGTCTCCACTACGACTACTTCCTCCCAATGTTTTCAAACAAATTTTAGGATTTCTTTATTGTTCCGTTTCAGTTTTTCATTAAAATGTTACATTCCTTGGATGCGACAAGTAGGGTCCGCCGTCTGGGTGGAAGGCGATTTTCTTGACAACTTGCTATTTTTACTGTAACTCTAGCAGATTACTGTATAACATGGATTTACTGTTGCATGAAAACTTGCATGAAACGTAGAATACGGTTGAGAGGTTGATTTTGCCTTGCTTGTCTGGCCTCTTCATTGTCAGCAACTGCCTGATCGAAACGCCATGAAGCGTTCTTGAAAGTCCGACCTTTTTTTTCTATGAAATGAAAAAAAGCGTATTTAAAACTACCGAGTTCCTTATGGGTCGGAAATCATCAGCTGTTTTATATGGTGGGCTTCGAACAAGGTGAGACATCAGAATGGCGTCGTCTCTCATCCACCATTGGGTTCGAACTTGTGGTGTCATTTTTCCAAACACTATCTGTAAACCCTTTCTCATAATAGGCAGAGGAGCACATACTGGTAGTAACCACCTCAAATTTACGCCATTGACCATATTTTTTAGATTTTTTAAGAGCAAAGAAATTGCCATAGAGCACTAGGGCTTCGAGTTTTCTTGGCATTATCGTTTCAAGCTGCTCAAAGAATGTATTTTCATCGAACTGCTCCATGTAGATTGATAGTTTAGAGAGGTGCAATTTCCTGAAAATGGCTTGGAATGGCTTAAAATACTGGAACATTTTCGAAATTTTCTAAAGTTTTCAAATTAATTTTAATGTCAGATCCTTCAGTAGTGTTCCACGGTATGTCACGAAGTATCTCCGATTATACTCCGATCACCAGCGAGCGTCATTCGGGGGGTATTGATTATGCGCGCGTGCAGTCGATGAACCTCCACTATATATGCTGATGCAGTGGCTTGAATCACAGTGGCTGTAGAGGGCCTTTATCACAACCAAGGTGCTAGCTTGGCTAATTTCAACTCTTTGATTCGCATCCACCGTCCCCGTCCCCCCCCCCCCCNCCCCTTCCTCCCGCATCTAAAAAACAAGTATCGATTGTGCGCGCGTGAAATCGATTTTCAATCATATTTAGTCATTGTAGGCGTGAATAGGAGGACCAGTATTTAAGAGGAGAGCGATTCTAACGGAGTGTCTCAGGGTATCGCTAGCATTCGATACTATGATCGTTCCAAAAAGTTCTGTAACGAGTAGTTTGAGTCACGGATATCTAACCTGAAAGAAAATGTGACAACGCTTTGTTCTTGATTAGAAAAAGAGAACATCGACGGTGGCATGGTCATTTCATCAAGATTTGGTAATCGTCCTGAAGTGTAATAATATGGAAATTCAATTGATCGAATTCCCTTGTTTCCTTGACTTACCTAATTTTTCCACGTATTCAGCCGCTAGATTGGAGTCGATAACGCTGCCGATTAAGTCCAGTTGGCGAAGATTTGTAAGTGTAAGCAAAACGTCCATAAAGGCTGGAGTGAGCACAACACCAGTCAAGCTTATATGGCGCAAAGTGATGGGGAAAAACGCCTAAAGTTGACGGAACATTAACCGAACAGTAACTTCAGAACCGTCCGGAGGCAAGGTGTGAATTTGGTGCTTGGCGAATCCGACTACGAGGAACTAGCGCACCCAGTTTTATTGAAGAATCCTTTCATGTGAAACGCTTATCTTCCATCTTCCTCTTATTCTCCATCTCCAAGTTTGTACTGCTCCCATCTGGTATCTCTAGCGCTCCCCTACTTCGCTCTCAGGAAACCGAGGACCCCATGGATTTCAAGTAGTAATATGAATGTTCTTCTCTTTCTTGTAAGGGTCAGGAACCATGTTACCTGGCATGCAGTTGGATCCAAAATCTGTCTCAGATTCAGTGGTTGATCCATTCTTTGAAGAATATTGATGCTACGTAGGCGGCTCATCGTGAAATCGTCCCAGCTCAGCGGATAGCGTCTGAAGTAATCGCTGTAAGCCATGAGTGCTTTGAACTTTCAGCTCGCAATCACTGCAGTTTTGTAAGGGTGGTTGGTTGAGTAATGGGCAGAATGCCCATTGCGGACATGGTCCCACATGGCTCCAAAATACAATATATAGGTCACCTGGAAGCACCAACCCTTTCGCTCTACCTTAAACCTACATATAGTTGCTTATGTGATAACACACCGTCTCAACATAAAGGATTTACTAAGCGATCGCTACTTGTTTGGGACTTTTGTGTTCAATCACAATAATAATGTGAGCCTTCAACTTTGTTTGAGTCTTCTTGCTAAGCGTTCTCTCTTTAGGTTACTGTATGCCTGATCAAACGTCGTGCTAGCTGCTAGTAAATGTAGGGGATATTTGTCAATGTGAAACTGGACTGTTTCCAAAAATATGCGAAAATTACGTGTCAAAGTTTTCACTGGATAAGTAGAGCGATTCGATTAGTCCTGATCGCTTTCGAAGGACGTCAACATGCTCATTTCGGAGCCGTGTTTGAATCCACACATGACGAGCGTGTGGGCAAAGACGGAAAGATTGTTCCATTTGAAGATTATCTCTCTGAATTGCTGAAGAATGATGAGAATAGTAAAATCAGGATGCTACTCATTTTACTGGGATGCGCCATGCATTTAGTTCTCATGGATGCCCCGTCCCCTCCCTCAACATTGAGTTCCAAGGGTCATCCATTCTTCAATTCAATGTTTTTTTTTTCGTGCCAAACTAGAATAATGTATTCTGTATGCTGTATGTGACTTCAGATAATGTCTTTAGAGGTCCGCTTGTTTTTGTGATACAGCAATACTGTCCACGCGTAGCCCCTCCCATCCAGTCTTGTCCCGAAGCTCTTTCTCATTGTGTCGTACATGTGGTGGGCTGTTTGTTCGTAGGGGACATCTTCCATTTCACTGCGCGTGATTACTGTATCTCAAGATCATGAGACTCCGATATCTGACTTGTACGTTTGTTGGATCACCCATCCTTGACCGAAGGTGTCTAAATCAGAATCAATCGAGAACCGAGCAAATTTTCGTACCGAATCTGTACTGCTCTCAACTTGATGCCGAAAAACTTCTCCTGCCATCACTACTTTATAATCGTCGAATAGCAAACTATGCACATCTTCCCATCTTAACACATTTCAGTTATCAACTAGATCCTAGCGGAGAAGTAGCACCGAAAATCTGTATCGATCGTATACGCGCAAAATCAATAGCTGTTTTAGAGCATATGCGCTGGAGTTGTGAAATTGTCCAGGACAGAAGCATCACCGAAATCAGCAATTTCTGATATCATACCTTATCAGCTCATTGCAAGATGATGCATCGACTTGTGCGAGATTTATACGCCCAGCGGGCGTCATATATTCGGAAACTAATCGTAGAGCTTCCAACGACATTCTGTAAGTATAACATATTGTCTTTTGCTGCTGTTTTTCTGCTATCTGACAATTTAGTTCGTCTTCCTAGAGTTTACACTTCGCGATGCGAAAATCTTCCCACAATCTGCTGAGTCGCCCGTAGGACGCTATATGATTGATCGGTAATGATAGTAGACGTGTGTATGAATAAGTTGTAGAATATGTCATAACAGGTCCATACTTTTGAACGAAAATTCACGTTCATACAGGATAGGTTATGTTATGACCTGACAAGGTCGTCGGTCGGTCGTAATGACCAGTCACCCATAGCTCCGACCCCTGCGCTCATGTCCTGGGCTTGCTGTCTTGCTGTAGTGAACCGTTCAGTCAAAAGCCTTCAGTTCAGGGGTTGTAATGGCCACGCTGTGCTCTCTGTAGGAATTGATTTTATCGGAGACGCAAACTATGCACAGTGCAGCTTGAAGGCAGTAAAAAAAATCAATAATCATTTTTAAGTACAACTGCTGACAGGCTGGTCGAATTTCAAGATTTTCTAGATCCCGCTTCTTCTTTAGTCTCGGATTGTGCAATACTCGAACTCAATTCCTGGTACACAGTTTACTCTAATTCACTTCATTAGGAACTGCAGCTTTCTCCAGTTTTCATCCGATTTAGACTTTGTGACATCTACTGAAGTTTGGCTGAAGGACGTTATAAGACATTACTTCAACAAATATTTCAAATTCCGCTTAAAAAAACTTTTGATTGGTTCTAGTAGTAAGTTGCTCCACAGAATGACTGAAATTCGACCCCACCGATCTTTTTTCGTGAGGCGATCGCGCCTTGGAAGTAGCTATACTGTAACCAACCTTTCTCTGATAAAGGAGCACAAAAATGACTCCTCACCGTAAATGTCGGCCAAATATCTCGAAGTTATGATATGATCATCAAAATCATTCCGTTGGGCGTCACCACAAAAATGAAAGCTCATCCCTGATCCTCACTCATACTGTACTCCCATTCGCTTTGTACTATCACCAGTCGTAGAATGTTGTGAAGTAAAACGTTGTAGTTGAGAAGAATCGCTTGTACGGAGCAATAAAGGGTGGAACTACGGGGAGCTTTTGGATTCAAGCTGGATTTTTTGTGACACCATGCAGCTACCAAGTGGTAAAGATAGAAAATTTGACCTTCCAAGCCTTGTGGTAATCATATTAAATTAACGATATCAAAACGTGAGTACGCTCTGCGCGGGTCTTTTCTTCCCACGTAAGCACCTGCAAACAGTCCCACCAGTTCATTTTGACGTGCCGAAAAGCCCCACATTCTTAGCCCCGATCCTGCTTCATGGTGGATTTGTTGATTCCTTGAACAGAGCAGGCTTCTTCTAAACAGTCCCACAATCTCCATGCTACACATCGGACCAGTCGATCAGCATCGACTTGCCCCTGATTTTCCTCGACGTCGGTTGTGTTGCAAACTCCGCAATTTGCAGTGCGATACACTTGATCTGACGGCTACAAGTTTTCGCGTAACGTCTCTCATTTCCTAACTTGGCCCAAACCATTGGCTAGTTGGTCGCTTCATTCAGATTTCAACATGACTGGCATAGCAACACCAAACGTGAACCGTGCTCTGCAAGACAGGGCTCTCGAGTAACTTTAAAGGGACTGGATGTCTGTTCAGATTTGGTTTTGCTGTGAACTATTTGTGTATCCCTGTATCTCGCTCTTTGTTAATGTGCTCTTCATCCGGTAATTCAAAAAAATTTCCCTGGGCCGAAGGAAACTTGCCGCACTGTGGTTGGTATCGTAGGCCCTTCCTTGCCCTCGCTGTCAGTGAAGAGCTCCCCACCGCTACTTCAACAGAACGTACGAGTAGAAGAGTGTGGAATCAGTGCCCGTGTAGTCAATAGTCTTTTTTAAGCCCTATGCTTTGAAATGGTGTATGAATCGTAAGTGTGATTGTCTAAGAGTATACTCCTAGCAGCATTTGTTGCTTGATCGATGTGATGTCGGTGTTGAGGAAGAGTAGCAACTGATGTGTGTAATCGTATTCCTCGTACTGTACTGTCGTCCTCATCAGCAGTTCTATAGGGAACACTTCAACACTTCTATTTCTGATTAATTCATATAATTACTAAGGTCGTCAATAACCCTATAATTCGAATATTAGCACTTCTCATGTGAGTTTAACAGAAATGAACTGGCACTTGATATTAGAATCGGAGTCAGGTCGTTGTTCTTTAGCCGTTCTATTTGATGAAAGCTTAGTTGGTTTCATTTCAGTTTACCCAATCGGTTTCAGCAACTAACCCTCATTGAAAATGCTCGCTAGACGAAATCGTGCTCTTATAAAGCCAAATATCGCAAAAGCATCAAAACTCGGAAAAACTCCCAGCGAGAAGTATGTTTATTAATCGGCTGTTTCAGTGTTTATGACTTTGCTTATTGTGTTTGTTCAGAACCACTCCTGCCTCCAAGAATAACTCAGAACCTGTAGATGCTACCACAGCTGTCGAATCCGTCGAGTGTTCAGATCATCCTCCAGTTCTCGAAACAACCTCAAATGCTATTGTAAACGAAATAGCTCCGAAGACTATTGCAAGCATAGGTAGGTTCGATTTCATTTTACAGTTTTTCTGTCGTAGGTTCTTCATCGGTTTTGGATTTTAGCTCCAGTTGTTTCACAAGCTTTTCATATCAAACTAGAGCATAAGAGTGATTCTTTCGACGTACCTTAGCCCTCAAAATACATTAGAATGCATAGGTTTGAAATTTGTCTAATTGTGTTTTTACAAACCTCCCTCTTCCTATCTTTGCCACTCTGATTTTAAGACCATGCAGCAGCTGCATAAAAAGAACTTCACCTGGTTGTTCTTTCACTAATCGCCTTCCCTCGTACTACCTAGTTAAATTCTTACAGCGCTTTAAGCACAAAGTCGGGAGTTTTGGCAGCTTTTTTGGAGAGTGAGTCATCCATCGATTGTACAGAGCGCACTAATCGTCAAGCCTTTCGAAATAAGTCGGACAATAGTTCTTTATCGCTTGCTTCGCCTTAAATTGGGCGAAGAAAAGACATTTCTAGTTGATATAACAAATTAACTGTACTATTTTTTGACTGGCTTTTGAACAGTAATGCTTCCAGAGGAGAACTCTCCATCCATCATCATCGATGAACCGTCAGGATCTGTTAATGGTGACTCGGTATGTGAAGAACACTACGACCCACTTGCTCCTGAAAGAAGAATTGCTCAGTAAGTTTCGCATTCACATGTGAATCACTGCATCTTTGCTATTGCAAGTGTTTTGAGTTATAATTTAGCTACCGTGACAGACCTAACTTTTTGCCCCATTCTTTTGTACCTATGATATCAGTTGTTCCTCCTACTTGTCTGACCTTTCACTTGCAGTGTTCCCGTGGACCGTTCAAAATTGCAGTCTCCAAGAAGTAGTGACCGGTCCTATTATACGGATTACTACGAACGCAACCTGCCAAAGTAATAGTTGATTGATACTTGCGCATTCATTGTCTTGGTGAAGCTTCGAAGGAAAATCCTTTAATTTTGTACTGGTCCTTTTAGACCGAGAAAAAAGTTCAGCGGTGATGAAGAATTGGATCCGAAGAAAATGCGAATGATGGATATGATATATTGGAACCCGAAAAATCAGAAAAGTATGACAAAACGTCACATTGAGACTGAATCCGTGGTTTCGGAGGGAAGACAGCCGACGATCGAGAAACTAGCTAGCACTAGCACAAATAAATCCGCTGCTCCTCAGGTTTCCATATTCTTTATTTTAGTTTTTGTTTTCGGCGTTTGTTCCCTAGGTACTTAATAGATTTTGACAATTTAAGGTGAAACTTGGACCAGATGGACGCCTCGTCATTGACGAGAGTAGTTTAGTAATAACTGAAACGGTTAATGATGAATCAGTCTGGGAAACCATAGACGAGGTTTGTTTGTCTCCATGCATTTCACAATCTTTAAACTTCTTAGCAAAGAGTATTTATAGCTACGTTCGGAAGTTTAAAAAGAGAACTAAAAGGTGATTAAAAACAGGCTTTCGATTCCACTGCGGTAATAGTTTCACTTCAGGACCGAGTAACTCGAAAGATTACCTCACTTTCATTTCGAAATCGCCTATGGCGCAAGGGCACGTCTTGGACAGAAAAGGAAACTGAGTTGTTTTACGGTACTTTACCACTTTTTGTTGTGAAAATGTTACTTCAAATGAGTAATCTTTGGTGTACGCGATTCTACGTCTGCTCTAATGTTAAGAAATTCTTCGATGTACGGGACCGGACTTCGGTTTGATGCACGAATTCTTCCCAACACGGGCACGTAACGAATTGAAAACTAAGTTCAATAGGGAGGAAAGAAGCAATTGGGCCAAACTAAAGGAGGTATGATATTACGCATTCTTTTTGTATTTCTTCCAATACTGCCTGTACCCATTAGCAGAGATATTTCTCAGATGTCTGAGAGGATCCCCACTGTTTTTTCTAGGCCTAATTTGGTTTGCAAACGTTATAAATGCTCACTTCAAAGAAATTTTTAAAAAAAANAAAAAAAATGTTGGGACTTTTTTAACAATTCACCTACGTTTATATTAATGTCATTCACCCCCAGAATGTGTAAATGACCTTCGTTACTTTTACTTTGTCGTACAATTTGAAATTTTTTCAGGTTATGGGTAAACCAGCTTTATTAGACGATGATCTGTATGAAAGAGCGGCAATACTGCAGAAGGAAATAGAAGAAGAAGCGCTCAATAAAAAATTGAAGAAGATGAAAGATCCTAATGAGGCTGTGCAGGAGAGGAAGTATAAGCCAAGGAAGAAGAAAAAGAAGGTTAATCCTCAAGTTTACAATCTTACTCTCAAGTTCATTTCTGCTGATCCATTCACAGGGAGGTGAAGAAGAATGGGACGAAGACACTGCCGATCTAGTTGAAGAGGCTGCTACACTCATCCGTGAACTGGAACGGGACCAACGGTTGGAATTTTGTAACATTGTATTGATTTGTTTCGCGTTTCATATTTATTTGGTTCAGCATTTCTGGTGATAATGAGGAGGAGGATGATGAATCGAACTCTGTTGAGGAACCTCCTGTGGAAATAAGAAGATCCGAAAGAACCAAAAAGGCACATATTTTATACTTGATCTTCTCAAATGACTACTACTCGTTTAATACTTTCTGATTCTAACAAATATCTTTACTTATTATCGGATCTGAGCAGATTTGAGCTCCATTACTTTGAATCTCTGGAATTTTCTGTGTTTCCATTCTTTGTTGTTGTGTCCTTGCACGCATTTCAATTTCCGTTTTATCAAAAAGGCCCCACCGAATCAACTTTCTCCTGCCCCCTCGAGCTAGGCCCTTCTGCTGTGCCTTTCATCTTACCTTAATAGCGATTGCTGGGCATTTTAGCGCTGAGTTTTTAGTGCCACCCAGTTAGTAGTTGCTCACTTTTACCTTTTCCACTAGGTTACCGCTTGGATGTTAAGCTCCCATTATCAGAGCTCATTACAGTTGTCGATGAAGGCTCAAGAGCTGTTGGATCAAACCATGAAGACTATGGAGTTGAGTAAGATGCAGTTGACCGAGGATGGCGCAAAAGCGCCCGAAGATACCTATGATGGATATGATGGTTTGTTTCGCTGATATGTTGCCAATGATTATCTGTCAAGCTTCCATGATGAATTCAGAAGGAAGCGATAGCGATACCGAAACGGATTCAAGCGATGATGAAGATTTCGCTGGTCCTTCAACAATGTACTACCGTAAAAGGAAAGCTCCTCGGGTGACATTCACAACCAGTCTTCTACCAAGGCGTAGCATGAACCGTGGTCAGGGTGCAGTTGCGGAATCGCCTCAGACTGCAGCTACGGAACTTAGCCAGGCTGCAGCTACAGAATCTTGGCCAGCTGCAGCGACGGTATCTGATCAGGCCGCAGCTACAGAATCTGACCAGGATCGAGCTACTGTTTCTGAAAACCTGTAAGTTTTTTTTTCTAAAATTGTTATCGATATTATGAGTAGTTGTTTTGATGGTCACATCATCTCAATACATTTTTTATCGTATTATAGTTATGTCATGGGTACGAAAGCTTCTGAAATGGTTTATATGAAAGGAGACTCTCTTATCTTCTCTTTTTGATGAGATTTTAGTTTCTCTGTGGCTAATTCTGTATGCTGGATATAAGTTTAACCTAGAGGCTTATGACTTTGACAATACTTGTTCCATATGGCTTCCTCTTCTTCTGGGGCTTACCAATTTTGCAAGAACCTAATCATCGTGCAAAAAGTCTTCCATTTCCATGCGTATTTCAGGCCTCCCTCCCATGATCTGATGGGCAGAGAAGATGAATCCCGAGTTGAGGCTCCACAAAGTGATCCAGTCCACGATAACGTGCAGTCAATTGACCAACCATGCTCTTCTAAAGATGGTGCTGCTCTAGCTTCAAATGGTGTCGAACAAAACGGGCGAACCATGGATCACGAAGAAGCTGGTGATGCTGGTAGGTTGACATCGAAAGTTTTTTTTTCGTTACGAATATCTTACTTAATCAACATGAAGGTGGTGAGACGCAGCCAGTTGAAGCATCTCCGACGGAAACCAACGTTACTCCCACCGATCCAAGTGAGCCTTCTCGTGTTGGGAATTTAAAACGGGTAAAGCGTCCGAAGGCGTCAGTTGCTAGTCGCACAGCAAAACCAGAAAAGTGAGTTTTTAAATTGCTTCTGTCGCCACTCCTTGTAGTTAGCTAACTTTAGCTAAGTTTCAGTCTCTTCGAAAAAAAAACGTTCCATATAAGATTCTAGATTATAAAAAGAATACTTCCAGGTCTGGTTCAACGCCTCTACGAAAACGTATCGGTGAAAAAGCAAAACCTAATATTAAATTGAAAAACTCCAAAACGGCTAGTCATAATGAAGGTGAGGATGCTCCGAACAATTCCATTTTACTTCACGATATCCTTCTCTTCGGTAAGTAAACTCAAATTTTGAATTTTCAATTTTTGTCATGGAGTAGTTTGATTCAGCGATTTCTTCAATTTTCATTTTCCTACAAAATTAACTAGAAAAGGTTTTGCATCACTAAACGATCAATGATTGGCTATTGTATTTTGGGCAACTCTCTACTACCATTGATTTTCAGAAGCATCGTCAGCGGCGTCGAATACTTCCGTACCTGAAGAGCTTGCAAAAGATGGAACTGAGGAAAGGTATACCATGAGCAGTCGTGCATGTTCGTTTCTCATAGTCATCTTTTGAGTCATTGTAGGAACACCGTAACGAATGAGCCAAATAGTGAAGTAACGGAAAGTCCTGAACCTCAAGCTGCAGGTTTGTCATCTTGAATCGTACTTTTTCAAGGAAATTAATAGGCTTTCTTAAGTAAGAAGAATGATTGACTTTTAGCTTCGAAATCCCGCAAGCCGAAGCGGCAGGTTGGCGAAGATCTCTACAAAAGAACACGGCCAATCAATAAGAACAAACCAAAACGACCGCTACGATCGTTAAGAAGATGATGGTGATGTGATATTTTAGGCATAAATGATTTTATTTTGGTGCGTTTTGTCAAATAATATAGGCCGAACGTTTCAAACGCTTTGTGCTTGTTGCCTCATTTACTCGAGAACGCAACTAGCTACCATGGCATAAGTCATTCGTAGGTCGGACTTCTAGGGTTTTCCAGCATCGTCCTGATGACTGCTTAAATGGCATCGACCTTTATTGTGCAACGGAAAGAATGGGAGAATCCGTCGGAAGAAGTGGGAGGTTTAGCACAATCGGGATTATCGTAACTCACACAAACTACTACACTAAAATACCCGTTAACTCGCCGCCCATCCAAGGGCAGAGGGCTCCTTCGAGCTTTGGTTTCGTTCAGGAGCAAAACTTCTAGTGAGCCTTTGAAGGTGAAAGCAGCCATTGGGGGACCACAACTCCTAAAATACGGTGCTAAAGTGTTGAGAGCTTCCAAGTTTTGTTAAACTTCATCTAGTAGTAACTTTACTATTTGTCGAGGGAATCTTTATTGAGAAGTGAAACCGACAACAAATGAGAAAACAGAAAAATGCTAGGCGACAAAATGTGAAATACAGACTATGAATCAACGATAACGCAGGTACTGCGTATTCAACTTTTCGGCGCCATGAAATTATTGATGAGTAGTTGTTTGAGAGATGGCTAACCCCAATGTGAGCTATCCCAAAAAGTAATGAAACATCCATTCAGTGTAGTACAAAGCATATGGTTCTAGAAATAGAAATAAGAAATGGAAAATGGTACCGAGCACAATTGAGATCGGAAGAGCCGGGGTGGTTTCGTCACCTGAAATAGAAGCGGTTTCAAAGAATAGCATTGACTCAAAGGCAAGCTTCATCGTGTTTCACTGTTTAGTATCTTACTGCATTACTGCAGTATAAAGTAACATTTCTTACTGTTGCATTTTGTGTTTGCTCAAGGAAAGGTGAGACATTTAGTCTGATGTGAATTCTAGCCATAATCCACCCGCTACTTCATACTAGTTCTTGCTGCCCGCCACGATTTAATCAATACTAGATAGTCAACTGATCTCCCTACGTCCATTCCTACTAGCTCTGAATCCATCTCCACCACTATCAGCTGATACCCTCCCCGGATTAACTCATAGCTAAAAAAGGTAGGTTGTTAAGTTGATTTTTTCTACGAGTGAATGTGAACGCAACCTTTGAACGGTCTCGTTTTCTGTGGCCTACAGGTAATAGCTCCCGTACAGAATGGTGGAAAGCAAGAGTAAATGAACCTACCATTGCTGAAGTAAGTGAGCGTAATGAGTAGACCATAGACAACACCCAGAGCTGCTGCAATGGTTGCACCGATATTTCCTGAAAAGAAAGCTTTCCGATTATCCAAGTAAAATCTTTGAATCGAAAAACGATCAGTCAAGTGAAATGGCGGTGAAGGCAAGGTTGATCAACCACACACTGTGTGCCAGTCAGCTGCACTCAGTGTGTCTTTAACGCCTAGGGTTTGAGCGAAGGGATGGACAGAGTAGTGTCTTTGTAGGCCTGCAACGGTATGAAGAAGCAATTCTGGCCCCGAAGAATATAGATCTCTCGCTTCAATACAAAAAGGAAAAGCATTAGGCTGTGTGATGCACTGACCTCGAGATCTTGCAAAAAAAAGAGGAAAGAACTAGCCCGTAAGTTGCATCCGGTAACAAAACACATACAAAGACCTCAAAATGTATCCCACCCCACTGTCATCTTATGGCATAGTCCTACCAAACTACCTTCTGTTTTCTTTCTGCCAGTAAAATGTCTTACAAAAAGGCCTAATTTCTGATATAAGAAGTGCGGGTTCCGCGATACGGTAGCCCGGGTTATTACTGGAGCGCGCGCTTGCACTGAAGCGCATAATGTGGGGTGGATCACGGTGACTTCCAGAATTCCCTCGACACTGAGGACTCACAGCATAACACTCGACGGAAGGGCAGATTTCAGAATCGTTAGAAATTTGAGCGAGAATGGGCAACCGGCTCACGAACTGTTAGCATATCTGCTGGGGAAACTGGTCACTTACAATGGCAATGATAGATAAGCGGGAAGGGCAAGAAGAACAAGGAGAGTGACCAGTAGGGGAGAGATAAGTACATCGAATAAATGTGGAAGTTTGAGTAGGAAAAGGGATATCGCTACAGAAATACTCGATGTGGTGCATTGTCCGTGTGTTGTCCTCAATCTTAGTGATTTGCGATTCAGCCCGATCATTCTTTACAAAATTGGGAGATAATATGAGACAGCCGAAGGGAAACAAGAAAACAATCACAAATGGATCAATATGACAATGGAAATATATCACGATGAGCGAACTGTTTCAAGCTGCTTTGTCGCAGATAGCGTACTGAAGCGTAAGGTAACGGAAAAGTTCGGCATGAACTATGCAGAACGTTGAGGAAGAACTCTTGCGAAAAAATTTATTTGAGAAATACCATGTGAAGACAGGATCAATAAGACCCCACCCCACTAAGCTCTGCGTCCCTGTTGCCTGGGACAAGAGCGCAGAGACAGATGAGAACACAATGGAGCCCATCAATCGATTGATCATCAAATGATTTTGAACCGGAGAGACGGGGAATATGCCAGGTAAATTTAGGGCGAGCATAGGATGAAATAAACCACTGGGTGGGTGCGGGTCAAGAAAACCCAACCCACGCGAGTTGAGGAATCCCAGAGAGGCAGGGAGGATTGTTACAAGGCTGTCATCAACCGAATCTCTAACGTTATGATACATCCGAGGAGAAACAAGCTTTGTGTGCCAAGGTTACCAGGACGAAAAGGCGTGTCAGGAAATATGACCCGTTTCAGAAGTGGTGGGAATACCTGGAAGACCTCCTTTTATTTTTTTCTGAAAGAAGAATCGCAAAGAGAGACGAAATGAGAAGGCGATGAGGTGTGGTCTAGTTTAAGTCACAACTAATTGACTATAGAAAGTATTCTGAAACTTCGGGCACATGGCAGAGGACTGACCTTTATTTCAAATTCAATGCCAATTCGAAAGGAGACGCGGTCGGTAGATGATATAAGTTCTAGCGCTTCTTCAGATCCCAAATAGCTCAAGTATGCGACTTCAGAAATTTAATTAGGAAAAATCGTAACTTCGCCAAAGGGTTTCCGTGAGAACCAATTTTCGAAATTTCATTGCATACGTTTGTTTTTCGAGTTGAAGCGGAAATGAAGTGGATCATTCATTTCCGCGCTTCATCTGCCCTCTATCGTTGAGGTAGAAGCGGAAGTAAAAATTCAGGACCGGAACACTGCTCTGAAAGTGACCCTACAGTGGACGCTTAAATGAGAACGTACTCAAAATTAACGTGCAATTTCATAAGGTCCCCGATTAAGTATTCAACTGGCTTGTTCGCAACGAGCGGGCTTGACGACCAGACACGATTATAAGTTCAGAACCTTAGTTCGGTAAAGTGTAAGAGTTACTCCGTGCTTACTATATACGAGGTTTAGAAGGGATGGGGTTTTTTGAGAAGGTACTCTAACGAAAGGAAGAAAACACGTTCTGAAAAAAGGAAAACGGAAGAAGACGAAAGGAAAGGAAAAGAAATGAATTAAAATGAGTTCGAATGAACGGAAGGAAAGTGCCTGAACGCGTTTTCTTAAAACTGCATGGTTGTCTGGTACACTCCCGTTTAAACGTTCTATTTCTCTACGCTAAAATTCTGAACTTATAGACTCGAACGCCCACAAACCGCCCATGACGTGGTCGATGAACGGTAGTGCCTTTCCGAACCCCCCACCCCTGCCCTTACTCCTCCATATACCATTTACGAATTCCCACGGACTTGTCCATTACCTTCCTTTGATAGGTTTGCTTATTGCTTGTGCCTATTCTAGAGACGACAATTAATAGGTCTGGGGGTCCAAAGATTGATTTAATTACGGTAGATTTAACCTTTACTATCGAAGAGAAAGGGTTAATTCATAGTACATACCTTTGAGCTATGAGTACTGTACGTAATAGCAGCTAATCAACCTGGCAGAAGGGCTTGTTCCCACGAATCAATCTGATGCCAGGATTCATAGACCCCACCAATAAAAGTCCAGAACCTTCGGTCGTAAACGATCCATTTTACTACTTTCGCAACTGAAGGACCAATAAATCGCCCCTCTACCGATTGTACAGTCAGATGTATCTTGTTATTGATCAAAAACATGAGATCGATATATGGTGGACTTCAGAGTGGCCGACACAACGCCGCGTACGCGGCATCGCAAGCGGCGTTCAGCACATCGCGCTTTGCATAAGGTTCATCTCCATTCTCAACGCTTTTTTTATCAGTCATCGCTTCATTAGGTGAGCAATTCTCGTTAACCATCGTACCGTACCTGTAGTTGCAGCTTGACCAACGAGAACACTGTAGAACACAAAATCCCCCATTCCAAGACGAAGTGAATCTGAAAAAATGGGGTTGCTGATCTTGAGATGGGCTGTCTGGTTGATCACTTCGTAACGAGAAGACCTTACTTGCATCATTCAAAGCGTCCGCTGCTGTAACGGATGCACCTTCGATCTCGACCGATTGCTCTGGAACGATTTTTCAGATTATTCAAAAAGTCTTTGAATTTTTGTAATCTCGTCCTCGAAAACGTTTCGTACTATTGTTGCTAGTTTACAATTGTTTACAGCCGTATTGGAAATGTTGACTAGATTACCAGAATCTTCGTCAGACGAAATCGCTGCTGCTACTGCCATCGTCATCGGATGAAGAGCTTTCCAAGTTTTTTCTGTGATGTTCCTGCAAAATAATTGGCCACTGATCGTCTAGATTCAAAGTTAGAAGCACTGCAGCTTAGGTGTTGCCCGTGGGGTTTGTCCACCACCTTCCTTTCACAGGACAAAAAGTAGGTGAACCGTTTAGTAACATTAGTAGCCCATCTGAATATTCGTGTTGCTTTCATGTCCATTTTAATAATATTTTTGTAATATTGTTTGTTGTTTGTAATATTTAAGCTCACATCAGGTTATTCTTTATGTTAGGCGCTGCAAACAAATATTACTCAATTAAATAGAACAACTGTGATTGCGAATGTCCAGCAGCCTGGTAGCCAATGATTGACTTGCAGGTAGCATCGCAAACAACACTAACACGATGGGAGGATCGAATCTCGTCTAGGACAGCCATAGTAACTCTCTACACCCCTCGGGCCGATTACTCGCCAGCAAGTTCATTTAGGAGTAGAAACGTTCCCTGGCCTTAGTGGATGACCCTTTCGAATGTGTACACGGGCCAGGTGAGGGGATCGACTGCTTCCCTGTCTTTGAATTTAAAAAAATTAAGAAGTCAATCAGGTGGGCAAAGAAATTATTAAGCCAACCATTGGAAAACGAAAGTTTCACTTCTCGATTGGCCCACGATCCAACTATCCCACATAGCACATTACTCCCACCGAGACCCTGTTCAGGCGATGTTGCCTTCCCGGATATCCCCGGGAAAGCGATCCAAAAATTAAGGTTTTTTGACACAACCACAAGTGGAAGGTCAGAATCCCGTAGTACCTTGAGATACTGGGTTAAAACCGACAACCACAACTTGCCGCCAGTTACCGTTTGCCGCTTGCAACGTACATTTCGCGAGTTTGCCACGCGCTTTCTCTCGCTGCAGGAGTGCGCCAGAGAAGATAAGATATGAGAAAAAAGGTGCCGACGTCACCTGGCGACGGATGAAAGCCCAGAGTGGGGTTCCGAAATTCTCAGCACGAATTCATATCATGCTATGCTACTGTAATAAAAATTACTGTACTGTTATTTGTTGTTTTACTTTGAAATTGTTTGATTTGTGTATTACGATAAACATATTCGAATAAACATATTCATCGCTGAAATTGTTTGTTGGTTGTTTACTGTTTACTGCTAAAAGTTTGAATACTTCAGACACAGAAATCGATCTGGAAAAGGGTGAATCGGTGGTGCATTTGCAAAAAGCGCCGTCGTCGATTGGATGATGCGATGATTGAATCTCGCCTTCCCTTACAAGAAACCATTGAGCTCCGAGGCTTCACCCGTTCAAACTGCATGGATCAGCTTATTCATAGGTCATTGTAGGGACCATCTACTCGTTCAAAGTAGAACCGACTGCATAGCATTTCTGGACACCAATTCCCATCAGCTTCGGCTTCATTTAGTTCAAAAGCTACTCGTCTACTCTTATGATTTTCAGGGATATCGTCACTTCGATAAGCTTGTACTTATCATGAGAGAGGCTTAAGGAACCCACACAAAAAACGAAAATGCCCGAACAACATAAAATTATGATTTCCTAATGTACAAGCTACGATTCTTCGAACCACCCACTCCCTGAATACTTTGATACGGGAATATCCTAAAAATCTTTTACATTGTAAAAAGCCTTGTACAGTCGCCGTCATCCTGCCTCATCCTGGTCTTAAATAACCCATCTAATGTAGCTAAATAAAATTTATTTTTGTTGACACTTAGTTTCGTCTGGAAAACTTGGTAGTACAGTTCAGCAGAAGAAACCTGGTCGAATTGAGCTCAAAAGTCAGTCAAAGTCAAGTGAAGTCAAAGTAATTCAAAACGCGGTTAGCAGAACGATGCGATGATGAATCGCCTCAATAAATTCAATGAAATTTCGCCATGTTATGCGACAATCTAAACTAGCGCTATATACGGTTGGTAGGTGTGCCGTTCTCGCGGAAATATCTTTGTATGCTAAAATGGCGTGATCCCTGGTCGATCTCCGTCTAGGTGGGTAGGGGAAGGTGAGTGTGAAAGTGGGGAACGACCGTCTGCAACGCCAGCCATTACTAGTAAAACTACGGTAGTTTTGTGAGTGGACTTCACCAAAAGGGAAGTTACGTTCAAAAACTTCTCATCACAAAAGTTATGACAATCTACGTGACGTTTTGGGTAGACACTACCCCTTGTTGCTATTTTTTACCCCTGATGCTTCAAGTATGAAAACTAGCGATTTCGCCAAAATTACGACACTCGGTTCTCCCGCAGAACCCTAGAACTTGGCCTTCTATACACAGAGACCAGACCACACTTCTCGCCGATGCGATTCTCGCCGATGCGATTGGACCACGCGCCCTATACAGCGATGTCACGATACCAATAAAAAGGGTCGCCTCTATATCGAGGTTGCGGTTTGCTCCCTATATCATCCAGGTATTTATATTGAGAACAACATGACGAATTCATCTTGACTCCTGTAAAACCAGAGCCCCTATCGCTCTACAAGTGAAGTCGATTTCGTTATTATAAATCGCATCTGCTAGAGGAAATAAACTAGAGCTTGGAAAACATCATTGAAGGCGGTCCTTCAGTCATCAAATCGCCAAACGTCTCAAGCAGAGAAAAGTCAAGAACCCCAAATGGAGTTGCTGGACATACCCATTTCTTGGCAAACTCCAGTGAACACTCACAGAGTGGAGGAGGTCAATTCGTTCCTGAGAGCTCACGACACTTTGATATTTTTAAGTCTCTTCCGATCCAGGCACCAGTCAGACTCAAAGCTATTGAACCGGCGTTACTCTCTGGCACAGATAATTACATGATGAACCCTACCAAGGCTTATCCTTGGCGGACTTCGAAAGTTCCCTTGTTACTAGCTACAACTAGTGGCATATGTAATCGAGGTGGTTGAAATTGACCGGAATCGAAAAAAATTGCATTTCAAAAATTCCATCAAAATAGCTCGGTTATATAGACACCTGAAGTCATTTTGATTGGAAAACACATTCATACTGCTTTTAAAAAAACCTTAGTAAAACTGACGTCAGCTGAAGTATCCAATGACTGATGAACTACCATAATATTCAAGCTTACAGCATTAAATTTTGCTGTGAACAAAAGTTTTCAACTCATACTATATATTATGGTGGCTTCGAGTGTTTAGGTGCATCTTGAGCTGGGAGTTTTCGAAATAGCCTTAAGATGAAGCAAGATCACTACAGTTTGATGTTCTAACTCAATTTCCTCGACTTCCATCTCCCTTACTTTCTTCCGCTTCTTGCTTGGTAGTCTGCAATGGTTACCGAAAAACGGGAAAAATTTTGGAACGCTTCACGAATTTGCGTGTCATCCTTGCGCAGGGGCCATGCTAATCTTCTCTGTATTGTTCCAATTTTAGTATATGTTCAGGAATGAAC